GACACGACGCGTCTCATTGTAAAATCGTTAAAAGTCGCGAGTGGAGTGTTTATGGTTGATCCTAAACGGTTCGGTTTATAGTCGCCCGCCGTCACTCTTAAACAATATTTATACGGCGCCTTTTATGAACTATCGGAAATTTCTTGTTCTCCGAGTTCTGAGAGTCTGCTACTTTTATTATACTGATCTTTACGAATAGACTAATTAATCATTCCCTGCGCTTCATAAATGAAGCAGAACAAGAAGCTAAACACGCACGGCATTTACGTTCCCTCGTATCTCACCCTTTATAAGTGACGTCTGGTATCTGTTTGCGACATATGTAAGATAGAAACGCGTTGGGAGTTGGAAAATTATTTTTTAATAAATAATTATTAATGAGTAGGTTTTAGTCGACCTTAACTGGTACGTGTTTAATAAAAGAACATACAATGCGACGTTTCGACCTGGGGCTTAGGTCCTTTTCAAGCAGATTCTAAAATGAAAACCGATAATCGAGATTACAAATTCGTCCGATATCCAGAATAAATTAATAAATAATTACAATGTACATGACACAATAACAAAATAAGTATTATAAGTATAAAATAATTATTACTCGTGTTCTATTGTTAACTTGTAATTTTGTAATCGTGACTTTGGAATTTTTTCTTGTGACACTTTGATTTTTCTTGCGCCGACGATGACTCTGTGAGGTTCAAAACGTTCGCATTTTAGATACATTGCTCTTACCGTCACCTTAATTTGCTCGGTTTTTTTGTACCCTAGTATTACATGAAAAATTGTAAACGATATCTAAGGGAGAAACGATTCTTATTCGATCTAAGCGAATCGAGATCAAATCGCGAGCTTAAAAAACTGGCACTTTTAATGGAGTACTGACGAAGCGATAGTTAAGCATTAATATTCTTCTCATCCTCGACACGAAAAGCGTTGCTGGGGAACAATTCTTTCTTCTTTTCCAAAGTGTTAATAAAAGCGACATGTTCACAGTTCTTGGTTACATCGGTTCGATTGAGGTCGATAATAGCTTGCGGCTATAAATTACTAAGACCGATTATTTAAACATGCATTTCGCTATGAAAGATAAATCCTCGCCGAGTATTTTCGCGACTGTGCGGTAGCAGTGGCGGCGACGGCGACGACGATGGCGACGGCGGCGGCGGCGACGGCGACGCGACATCAACGATTTAACACGGAGGATAAAGCTGAAGAGAGATGAATTTAACGAAGCGTACACCCGCGTCGGAAGTTCCCCGTTCTCCGCCTGGTATCGAAAAGTCCCAGGAGCTGCACGAAGCAAAACCATTCCTCCGGAATTCGCGCCAGACTACATCGACCCCGTTTCGTTTCTTCGCGCAAATCGGGGAGATACAGGCCGCTCCATAAATACTCGTAAAAGAAGAATCGTCGCGGAGAAGAAGAGAAAGTGGGAGGCAGGGGCGGGGATGCCATCGAGAAGATCGGCCACTGGTATCTAAACTGGAAAATTGTACAAAAGGAGCGACGGGGAGAGCGGAATGAAGAAGCTCGAGGAAGCTCGAGAAAGCTCGAGAAAAAAGAGGGAGAGAGGGAGGGAGAGAGAGAGAGGGGGGGTGGGGGAGGGAGAGGGAAAGAGTAGACGGGCGTAACGTAGAAAAGTTGCACCCGGCACACTGCATCGAGATTCAGGAGAAGGAGAGGCTACGCCAAAAGCGAGATGAAGGAGCAGAAGGGTGGCGGAGAAAGGAGAGCGGTCGGATGGCAGGGAGGAGGGTGTGGAAGAATGACGGGGGAGGGTGGCGAAGGGGTGACGGGGGTAGAGCGGCACGCGCGGCGCGTTTCTGGAGTCGTCGGGACGCCGAAAATAGCGTCCCGATATGATGACGCCCGGAGCGGGCCGATCCTAGATTTCAGTCAGTTCGCAAGCTCGAAAGCCGCTGAGCAGTAGTAGCCCCGGATCCAGTAGTCTCGTCGCTCCGATTTCTTTTTTCAAACCGACGGCGAAAAACTCGCGGACTCCTCCCCCTTCTCTCTCTCTCTCTCGTTCTATCTTTCTCTCTCTCTCTTTCTTTTTCTCCCCCTCTCGTCTTCCTCTCTTCTCGTGTCCTTCTCACCCTTTCGAGAGAGTCGCCCGAACACGACAGGCCGCAGTTGATTCTGTCGCCTAGGAGAGAGCGCATCGCGACGACAGAAGACGGAAGAGGGTAGAACGCAGAGATGGCGGACGTAGACAGTGTAGTGTACACGACCACCGAGCGCAAAGTGCGCAAAGTGAAGAAGACGACCAAGCGCCGGGAGAGCAGCGACCAGAATGCGTCGGAGGTCACGATCACCGAGGTCGACAGCACGCAGAACAACCACCACGCCATCGAAGAGTATGTGCTGGCTGACGATACAACCCGGCAGACCCGCATAGCATCTTTATCATCTCTTCTTTCTTGCTCGTCTTAACGACGGCCCGTTGTCGTCGTCGTCGTGCTCACCGTCGTGCTCACGATTCGCATCATCCAGGAGAGAGATTTTGCGAGCGTCACCCCGGAAATTATGCGCGAGCGCGACCGGAATTACGATAGCGATGATAGCAGTGATAATAACACAGGACATTCGAGAGCTGGTTGCGCCAAGTTTCATGTTGATCTCGGTTAAGTGAATCTTCTTCTTTATCGAGTAGGACTGTAATATACAACGTTAAAGAATAGTGAACTGAGATTGCTCAACAAAGATCGTTGGTACAACCAGTCTAAGATAATTAAATGCAAGAGATGCTTTAATATCTTTAACAATAGATATTGTTTTTAACGTCTTTTGAATTTTGATGTTGCCGCGAGAAAATACATCTCGTGACATTTCTATCGATAGCATCAAAGTCAATCGTAACATTATTCAGTCCTGTTGAGCTCTTTATAGATAATTTACCCAAACATTTCGCGCGGAAATTGATATAAACGTGTCTCTGTGGTCTCATTTTGTTCGCGGCCCGATCGTAACCTGGAAGATGACGACGCGTTTAATCTCAAACACTCTTTCACTCCGTTCGCTCGAACTCGGGCGATTTACGAGCGGCCGAAAATACTCGCGAGTGAAGAAAGATTAACTTCGGGCATCGCGTTTCCATCTCGTCACGCGAAGACCGCACTTGCCGTATCTAAAACGATATCGCTCGTCGTGAATGATCCTCTCCGGATATCCTCTGACATTTCGTGACTGCGGGCCACAATCCGACGGACGTACCTTGCCGTAGCTTGGCAAGGACTAGGGTGACGCTCCAGGAACTCGAGCCTTTCCAAAATTACATGAGAAAAAGAGAAACGGTTCTTCTCTCATAAGACCATGATCTTATCAGCCTTTGAAAAGCCACTAGTGCAGTTGATTTCTGAGAATGACTGAAATATTAGAAACGAAGGGAGGAAATTTTTTAAAATAAAACAGTGTTATTTTTATTATATAAACATATATCAACTATATCTGAAAATTTTAAATTTACTCTTTTAGACCAATATATGTCTTTTGCGTTATTTACAAAATTTCAGAGTTTTATGAAAACTCCGAGAATGAAATGAGGTAGATATCAGGAAATATGTGAAAGAGTTGTAAAATAATTGGAATGTTTCGAAAAATTTTATAATGTTCTGTCTTGCTGTGTATGTATCTTTTAGATATGCAGCTTATTTGTGGTAAAAAAAAAGAACCTATAATTAGAAGTACACACTTTGCAATAAGTACGGCTAAAACATCTCTGGCTCTTTTTCTTGCTATTTAATGGTTCTTCAAAGGTTAACAAAGCAAGTAAATGCCCTTAAGAAAGCGAAAGAGAACACTCGTTCGACTCGCGCTCAATGAAAACGCTCAGAACAAAATTGGTACAGTCATACGCGCGTCACGATAGATATGACTTTGTACAGAAATACTCAGCCAGCACATACAACAGCACTCATCCAAGGTACATATTTCCAGCGCGTATCAACGATTCCGTTCTCCATGTTCGCGTATAGTATAATACATGAACGAAAAAGGCGATCGAAGAACTCTCAACGAGACTGTAAAACACGATACTCTTTTAACTATCTCCAGATAGTTGGATAGTTTCAACAAAACTTTGAGAAAACATTTCAACTAGTGATCTTCCTCTCGGTATTATTACACTTTCAAAAATCAGCGTAGGAATACGCTCAAAAAGCACATCAGAAATGTAATTTGAAGACATAATGGACGATTAGATTTCATACATTTTATACTAATTCATGGCACATTTATAACTGGAATGTATAAGTTCTAAAAATCTAAATGATTCAAATCAATAATTTATCCTTTCGTTTATATAAAAACGATACAAGGTGTTTAAGCCATACATGAATATTATAAATTATAAGGATGAACTATCATATCAATTAGTACACGAATGGTATACAAAATTAACATTATAAACAGAAAAATCGACATGTTTTTGACAATCGGTACATGATAAACATAAAACTACCGATACCAACGTGAACGTTGCACATTACGTCATAGTTTGTAGCAAAGTCAAAGTACCACCACGCAAACATTGAACAATTTCTCTCTGTTAAAACAAACTGGTTTACATAAAAATATACAAAGCAACGCAAACTATAACGACAAATATAATATAGAATATTTTATCGTTAAATTTTTTTTCTTTTACTTATTCATGTGCAATATGATCATAGAATGGAAATTATAAGGGGCTAAACGTTTTTATATTGTTTTTCAAATACATGAAATTAAAAAAAAATGTTTTACGAATCTTATCACCGTCGCTTTAACATTTATTATTTAATTAATCTGTATTTAAATTTTATGGCTGCACCCTATATATTTTTGCTTATGTGAAATGTTTATTTTAATATATGTATAGCCCCTTATGATTTTTCAGATTGAAGAACATCGATTTAGAATTAGTTTTGGTACAGAATCATCCAACTGACTGATGTAAAAGTCCCGAGACAACTCTCTACGAGCGTGTCACGAATTCTAAACGCTTGGTATTCGCGTTGCAGTTGATTTTCAGTGGCGAGTACACAAAGGCGATGAACAAGGACTGGCACAGCGGCCACTTCTGTTGCTGGCAGTGTGACGAATCCCTGACAGGACAGCGCTACGTTCTCAGAGACGAGCATCCTTACTGCATTAAGTGCTACGAAAGCGTTTTCGCCAATGGCTGCGAGGAATGCAACAAAATCATCGGCATCGACTCCAAGGTATTTCTATACAAAAAATCATACAAAAAATATTTTATACGCAACTTGTTCGGACACGCTTCTCCATTTGTTAAAAAACTGATTAGCAATTTTATTTAGCTTTCAATTTGAATGATTTAAAATCTTTCTGTGATTTCCTAATGTATCGGCTTTTAAAACAAAAACTGTAATCCAGTGCTAAACGATTTAAGTCAAAGGTACTAAAAACGTGACAACAAATGAATTGCTTTAAAACTATATCAAAAAGATTTGTCAAGTCAGAATCGTCCAGAGAAATCGTCCAGAAAAATCGTCCTTGTTGAATGTTCTTGAACTAAGTTACGCATTTCGATGTGTTCGCGAACGATAAATTACTTCGTTCGTTGTACAGCCTAAAGGCGTAATTAGTGGTCGTCGAATGATTACGAGACCCGGTGTCAATAGATGGAGAGGCATGGGCGTTGACTTACTCATTTCTAGAAATAGAAGCGATGATGCAGGTGCCGTGTATTGGCTTCGAGCACCGATTTCCGCTCTCTCTCTTTTCCGCGCGCGGTCGCCTTTATTATAATATTTCGTTCGCTCCTACGCGCAAAAATCATCGACCTGCAGTGGAAAAGCGAAGACGTTATTTTCCTCGCGAGCATCATCGACACGCGGAGTTACGTAATATGATTAATAATTCGCGTGATCTCAGCATCCGCAACGGTTTCCAGAAATTATTTCGATAAAAACACTCGCGACGCTGTTTGCGGAAGATTAATCAAATCTTTCTTTAATACACAACTTAATACGCTAATCGAATTCTCGACGAAAATCATTATCAAGAGAAATGTTTAAATAAATCGCTTGCATATCTGCGTAAACGAGCCTGCAATTTTTCGACATTGAATGTATTTGTCGAAACAATTGCATACGATAGGGTTTTTCCAAATTGATAAGTAAAATAAAATAACGTAAAATATAAGTAAATATGAGCTGAAAAGTATTAACGCATAATTCGATGTCATTTTCAGGATCTGTCGTACAAGGATAAGCACTGGCATGAGGCCTGCTTCCTCTGCAACAGGTGCAGAGTGTCCTTGGTGGACAAACAGTTCGGTAGCAAGGTGGACAAGATCTACTGCGGCAACTGCTACGACGCCCAATTTGCCAGTCGTTGCGATGGATGCGGCGAGATCTTCCGTGCCGGTACGTAATATCTTAATACTGTAGTTACGACATGTTCTTACGACAAGTTAAAGAGATCCTTAAAATGCCACGACACCTGCGATCTAGTCTTTCAAATGTGAGTACGTTCATATGCTCATGATTTATTTATATCTGACGTGGATATTACAATTGTTTATGGCTATTTATAACATGCGCGCAAACCGTGAGAAATGCGAGAACGCAATTTCCATCTTCTTTATAATGACGAGAAGATCCATTGAAATTGCACAAAGCTTTGGGAGATTTAGATGGTACATGATCAAATTTGATCATTGGAAAGAAACGATTATTTCTATATTTATGATGGCCATAATTCGCAATGAACAAGAATATTTTATTCTTGTCTTTTTTTCACACTTCGAAATTGAGAAAGTTAAAAGAAGTTTTCCTGAAAAAGTTACGGATTTTACGATACAACAATATGTAGTCTTTATAATTTACTGCATATTACGTGAACTTTTCGACAAATAATAATTTATAAAGCTATTAAATTTTAATGAGACTGAATATGTTTTCTCAAAACGATTAATGTAAAAGTGAGTTGAACCGCACAAATACAAACACGCGTTCAACCCAACGTGCAGTGCAATCAGCGCAATCGATAAACATAAATGATAAACGTTTCGATTAACCGGCTATCTCTGTCTGGATGATCGCATCGGCGATTATATCACGATACGTAAACGAATGTGAGAAGAGTATAATTCACGAAGTGAGAGAGAGAAATACGGAGTAACAGTCACGGCTCACAATGAAAGGTCGAGTCAGAAACAAATCTCCTAGTAATTTCCACCTACGACCGCGTTAACACCTGTTCTTGATCGATCGTTGGCGAATCGTTCCCCGACAGTGATTCATGGTGTCAGGTACGAGCGCGAACGACCGAGAGAGAAAGAGAAAACCGATAGATCTTGCATTCGGTGTTTCTTATTAAGGTAACTGAGTCAAGGCTCGAACTCCGGACACGGGCCAATTATTGTGAGCCGTTTTGAGCCCGAGTACGCCATTTTACGTCTAATTCACGAGTTCTCTAATAGCATTAAATCGTTTTTCATAAACATCTTAATTAAGCTGCACTTATCGAATTCAGATATCTTGCTCTACCTCTTGAAACGGCTCTTTTCACAGATCGACCTCAAAATGATCTTTTTACACAAAGCTTTCTTCGACTACGAGACAATGAAACCGATAAGTGGACAATGGCAGTGCTTATCTTGCAACGAGCTAAGTTTGTTTAAAGCCTAGTGTTCATTTTCTTTCTTTGATAATTTTTTAATTAAAAGCTCCTTGCTCGTCTACGAAAGCAAAGGCAAAAGTCATATTGCAGGATTAGTTTTATAAAAAGTGTAATACAATTGACAAAATATAGTGCAGAACAACGCATATAAGATATTAAGCTCTAAGCTTTTTTTTAATTTCTACAATGGAAAGCATCCTGTGCCGTGAATTAATGAAATTCATCGAAAGGCAATCTTTCCGATGCATCCAATGCGAAATCGAAACGCGCACGGAAGTGGGTCAATTGTGAAGATTAGTGGTCAACCGTGACGATCGACCTTTTTCGAGATAAACCGACGAAGGAACCGGTCGTTATCCGAGATGATAATCGTCGTATCCACTTTGTTGTTTAAAGTTTGCTTAAAGTGTGCGCAGCCTTCAGCCGGCAGATACCACGAGAACGATGACCTATATGACTTAATACAATTCACATTATGCATCACGATCCGTTTGAAATATTATAGTCATTAAAAAAAGTGCTATAGAGAATCACAGGTGAATAACGCACAAATGGCGTTTTATTCGAGGTAGCTAGAGTAATTTAAATAGCTAAGCGTTTTCAAAGTATGCTGACTTATGAATCTTGATATCTATGAGATAAAAAAGATTAGACACTTTCACCCTTGAATAGATGACAATTTAGATATCCAAGCACTCAAGAGAGTGTAAAAGATTGTGATAAAGCAAGTGAGATAAGAGAAATTTTTCATTCTGGAATAGAAAATTGTAAGTACGGACCTTAGAAACGGTAAAACTTTTGATGTTTAGGAAAAAATTTCGTTATTATAAAAAAAATACGTTATTACTTATTGTCGAAATGTGTGAGCGCATTGCGCTCTAATAAATGTTGGCTTATCGTCAGAATCCAGCTCGCAGTGTTCTCATGATATAGTTGTTCGTTAGAAATTATTTGCGTGACACATTGAGGAAGGTCGAACGGCGTGGGAGTCGGGACGAATTCCAATTTCGCTTCTGACGGATAAAAAGGATTAGCTCGTCGGGGTCAATCGAGGAATTGGCGGCGTGAATGATTTGGTACCAACGTGTTTCGTTATCAAGTTTTGAAGTCGTCAATAAATCTCGATCGGATTCATGATATCGCGAATACGCGATCTGCCCGAATATCGAAGTTTCCTTTATAACCGTTTTCGCCATGATTCTCTTCCGACACCGATTGGAGTAAAGATTGAAGAAGGATGAGCACTTACGTGCACAAAGTCACGCGAAACAAATTTTCCAGACAACTAATTAAAAGAAATTACGAATCATTCGATGTCCGCAGATAAATCTCCGGGCACCTTAATTTGACGAAATTGTGAATAACAGTTCACGAAAAGCAACAGTGAAAGAGATCTGTTTTTATATTAAATGTACTTATTTCTATTTGCAAAATTATTTAAGATATTATTCTCAAGAAAACTGAAATTGCCAAGAAATATAAAGATTTAACACGGCTTTCCTCTACGTGAATTTATCATTCACTGTGTTAAATTATAAAATTTCAATAAAGTTGCAGTTGTATATAGAACACACGTATATAAAGTTAGAAGAAGTTCGAAGTTAGAAGAAATGAATCCGTCTTCTCTTAATAATACATTTCATTATTTGTCACAATATTTTTGACATTTGAAGCTTGATACTCGCTAAACTACATATTCAATTGCTTATAACTCCAAAGATATTAAAGATATAGAGTTGTATTAATGTGTTGTGAAAGAACGCATTTTCAAATTAGACAGAAATCCATTGTTAAAATCGAGATCGGGATTCTGCGCAATTCCGTGTATGAAAACATGTCACGTTAGGTGAATATAATTCCAATTCGCAATTCCACTGATGATCGAAGCTTGCAATATGCGCAATCCTTGAGAAACTCGTAACGTGACCGCGATAGAAATATCCTAATCGAGAAGGAAGTGCACGGAATATAGCATTAATCGCGAGTTTGTGGAACACTTAAATCATTAATTAATTCCATTGTGACGGGTCTTACTTAATTATAAAAATATTATGTAGATCCTCGTGCTATTTAAATCGGTATAATTGGGGAAGTGCCTTGTGTAAATTTTTGCCAGTTGAAAAGGTGGGTTGCGAGAATCCCCACAGTGAGTCTGATCCACGGTCGAAATCTGAAGGCGCGGGTCCAGATATAATCCGCGGACACCAACCAGCGGTGGTAGAGTACCTCTCTCGTTGGCTATATAACGGCCAAGTTATCACACGGTAACACACGTTGCGCCTGCCCGCAACGGTGACTCCAGCGAGAACCGAAGAGCGGTCTGCCTTCAGTGGCTCGTAAGACCTCGGCCCAATCGCACGCTCGATTCTCCACGTTCGATTTTTCGGCACACCGGTTTTTCTCTCTCCTTTCGTTATCTCGCGATTTATTTCGCACCTTAATTAACTCGGTCCTTTCGGTCACTTGTCGAATTAAAAAGGAATCGAGCTCGTATTTCAGAATTGAAATGACATTTCGGATAAACTGATAAATGGCCGTCCAATTTAAACATTTAAATTAAAAATAATCTTCTAAAACTGTTTCGCGACTGCCTTGCGTAAACTCGACGCCGTTAATTATAATCACAGATCGGATCCACTCGCGGTCGTCGCGGAGCGCCGTGTAAAGAGGCGCGCGAAAGTTTTGTTTCTGCGAGTTTGTGTTTCGCGTAAACCTCGCAGTAGCCGGTGAATGCACGCGAGTTTGTTTGTATAAACGTTTCGAGAGAAAATATGGCCACCGACGCGTTGAGTGAGCGACTATCGAGCAAGCTGCACCTGCAGACCAAGACGGTGGGCGAGGAGAGAATTAGAAGGGCGAAAGAAAAGGACGAGGATGTCGCGATCTTCAGCATGTTCCCCATGGAGGGCGATCCTACATTCAGATGCTGCCTGGGCAAATACTGCCTGATCGGAGACCCGAAGAAGACAGACCCAGGTGACGATCGCGACGATCGTTCGTCTAAAAAACGGATTATGTCGCGGATAATGTTGACATGAATAAGCATTTATTAATATTAGTGCGTTATAAATGTCAACTATATATGGCAAGTACTCTTGTACTAAATTAGCGACTGGTACACTTTTATATTTTTAATAAAGAGAATCATATTAACATGACAATTATAATTATTAAAAAGAACAATCAATCACAATTAACTCGCAATTGTCTGGCGTAAATTTATCTCGTTAATCGCCGATTTACAATCGCAATCGTTACAGGACGCCTTGTAAACAGGCGCGCAAAAGTTTTGTTTCTGCGAGTACGCGTTTCGTGTAAACTTCATGGCAGCCGGTGAATGCATACGTGTTTGTTTGTACAACGCCTCGAGAGAAAGATTCTGCTGCGATAGAAGATATCTCATATACCACACAAAAATCGGTTTATACTTATTGTTAGTGAACACTTGTTGAACAAATGGCATGAGGAACACCTGCAGATGAAAACGAGCGAGAAGAGAATGGCGAAGATGTCGCGATCTTGAGTGTATTCCTCATGGTGGGTGATCTCAAGTTCAAATACTGTCTGTGAAGAAAACAGACCCAAATGATGATCACTCGATTCGAAAGCGAATTATGCTCCAGTGACATAAACTAACTTTTAATATCGTATAAATGTCGCGACCGTAAATATATTTGACATTCTTGCTTCAATTTTTTTCGCTCTGAAAATTACATTTCACTAAACATTTTATAGAACTAAA